TATCATTGAAATTTATTTAATAAAATTTATGTTTTTTTTTAATAAAAAAGTTAAATCAGTTGCATGTAACAAAACTCCCCCCCTCTTCAATCTATATGCACACATATATTTTAGAAATTAATTCAACCGGCTCAGTGCCTCAAACTAGCTTAGTCCACATCCAATTTCGAGCATGCCTGCATCCCCCAAGCTGACCCATTTTACATTTTCCCACATGTAAGTATATATATTTAGAATATGTAGGTTCCCTAAAAAAGATATATACAATCAATGTGTACACATAACTTGCCATCAATTTCATGTTTCACGTAATAGATATGATGGGTGAGTACTGGTATGCACAGAAACTTTTAGCAATTTCAATTCGCATTTATAAAATAATAAAAAAACCTTCTTCATCAAGTAATTTAAAACAAACAAAGAAACAACAATTGCAAAGTATTTTAGTTCTTCTCTTTTACTTGTGTATTTAACAAGTAAAAGCACGTTTCCTTTTCTTCTTTTTTCCTCTATCTTTTTGGCGAATTTGAGAATATATTGCTTCAAGAAACACAAACCCTACACAGAATAATTCTTAATGGTCATACCCGAAACCATGACCCATGCAAGATCGACAAGATTCTTTCGTGCATTCCAACTTACAAGTGTATATATAAGGATCAAAATTTTCCATCTTTAGAGGTTAATATATACAGTTTTTTTTTTATAGCTCGGCCGGCCGATACATATTTAACTCTTCCACACATTAAATTCACTTGTAAATTTGACCCCAAAAAATTTAATCTTTCACTTGTAAATCCATGTTATATACATTTCGGGAATGAAATGTTACATTGATATATAACCAGGGAATACAAAGATTTCTACTTGACAACCTACTATCTACTTTTCTCTCATTTAAATGCAATTGGACATTATCGAGGTGGACAAAAATAACGTCTGAAATATAAAAGACGTCGGAGAAAATGATAAAATTGAAACATTATTAGGATATACATATGTGTGTGTGTGTGTGGATTTGGCCTACTAGATAAAGTACTCTGATCACAAAACTTAAAAAACCTAGTCCCTTGAAAGTCAAGTTCCTTTCCGGGGGTTGTAAGCCCTCCTTTGTGTGGAATTGACATCATGTTTCCCCTTTTTTTCTTCGTTTTGTTATGATTTTCTTTCACCTATTACAAACGATTGCATCTCAGTGTCGGATCTCCACTCGCTATCATTTTTGCGATTTCTTTATATTTAGAATAAGTCTCAAAAACTCTTTAGATTTTCTGTGTAGTTTTCACCTTTTCTTTTGTGAGAGTTTTATTTGTATTGTTACGACTTAATTTTTTCAAGTTTGATATCTTTTTGATTGTTATGAGTTTGCAATCTTAGTTGGATCGATGCACATATGCCAGAGTTTCTTCAATCATCCATGATTGTTAATGGAGGTGCACAAAATTATCTTAAATTTGATGTTAATGGAGGCGCACAAAATTGTCTTAAATTTGATGTTAGATCTCTCCGTTATTGTAATGGTTAGTTTGTATTGGCCCTTTATGATTAGTTGTTTTTGTAAAATAAAAACTGAATTATGAATAAAATCCCAAAAAAAAAAAAAAACACTCTGTAGTGGCTGTTTGGGTTGCGTCCCTTTCCATGTCTCTTGGTCTAATAAACAGGCGTAAGACGACATTGCTGATTTTTGCCACTGCCCCCTACTTGTAAGATTATTAATAATATTGTTTAATGTTCTAAAATATTATACACTATAGTCAATTGTTTGTTGCGGTGTATTATTTTGAAACATAAGTATTTTATTTTACTCCGTGATTTCCCTACCTAATCCTTCGTTCATTTTATTTACCAGTTTTTTCGTCCTTCTTCTTCTTCTTTTTCAATGGCATACAAAATTTATATTGACACTCCATCCATATGTACGCCACATCTTTAATAATCTAGGAGTCTCAGAGTGTAGACACAATGATCATTAATAAACCAACCAAATTTGTTTTCCCATCTGAATATAGGTATGTAATCATTCTTTATTATTATTATTATTATTTTTTTATAGAGAATCTTGACGGAACGAGGGAAACTTTATTGATAAAACGAAGAATTAAAATAGGAGGACAAAACGCCTGACTCTGATTCAAAAAATCACATAATAGGGCGTCCTAAATAAAATCAAGGGCACCTCAAACCAAATAAAACTATCCATGTTATGCAGACGAAATAACCATCCAATTTATATTCAATTCAATTTCACTACTACATGCATGTACTATATGGTAATTAATCAATTTACAATCTGTATACCCTTTTGATTGTCTGTCCTATATCCATGCGTTTAAGACTTGAGAGGAGAAAATGAATGATGAACATTACTGTACAATATTATATGAACAGCATGGATAGAGATCTTCATATCATTACATTATGCACAAACGAAGGAACAATAAGAATCAGACAACAGTGTGCCTTGTGGAGCCCCATATCCGTGGACGATTGACTGTATATTATTATTAGTGGGAATAATAATCTGCCAGCCAAATGGAACTTGAAAAGTCATTTGTGCTCATAAATTGATTGGAGAACCTTTTTAAGTACAAATTATCAGACAAACTTTCTTGAAAGCTGTGTGGATAAATTTTCACTTTAACAAATTTTCTTTTTTAGGTCGAAGCTGAGTGCACCTTATATCAAGAGGAAAGCCTCGAGATTTTATGTACAATTAATTTATGTATTAGGGTTGCAGACCCTCAATGTCAGTACGTACCCTCCTCTACATCTCACGTAGGCTTAAAAAGCTTCTTATCTTTCGAGCAAATAAATAATAAATAAACAAGTAGCTAGCAACACTACATTCATTTTGGCAACTTTAAGAAATTGTTGGATATAGATCATCCCGCAACAGTTTTTTTTACTTTGGGTAATACAAGAAGGGTCAAAGTAGAGGCCATTATTTGATCCGCGATTTGTGAGTCGAAGTGGGTAGTCTGAGACTTGAAGAGCCAAAATTCGATTCGGCGATTAGGCATGATCGGCTTGATTCACTCTAAGGTTGAGTAGGACTTGAGTTTAGGTTTTGAAACTTCCGGCCCATCCTCGGCCTAGCTCGCCAATGACTCGACCCAGCCCAAGTAAGCTCGCTTATTGAAACTTAAGTAAATGTCTTGTCTTTTTATTTTTACATTACTCCATCTACTTTTTTATATCAGCACTTCAATTTGCTATCTCTTTCTAGCTATCTGGTATGTAATAAAGTAAAGAGCCTACTCTGGGAAAAAAAAAGAAAAAAAAAAGAAAAAAAGTAAAGAGCCTACTGACTTAATTTCTTCTTTTCGTGACCAGTGCGACTAGTAAGGTGTAGGTGCAGAACTTGGACCTAGACTGCGCTTGCATCTCTTCATCTTTCTAGGTACGCTCTGGTAATTATCTGGCATTTATATATTATAGATAACTTCAAATCCTTCACGTGGACGGCGGAGTGTTGTTTTGTTACGACTGATGGAGGGGGTTTGCATTTGAAGGCTGAAGGCTGAAGGCTGAAGGCTGTTGCATTAATTTGGAAGCTAAAAGACAGTACATATATTTATACATGTCGGAGGCCCAACATAAAGAAAATGAGTAATTCTGGAAAATGACAATTGAGTGCAGTATCGTGAAGAAAATGCAACATCCATGTACAAGGTCAATATTGATACAAGCAATGAAAACCTAGCCATGCGCTTCATGTGAACGCTGTTCCCCCAATCAATTAATTATCCACACACATCAAATCCAAACTTACTTTTTGTCCTCCACAATTTGCTCCATTTCTATGTACTATTATTCTTTGCACGATATAAATAATTAATTCTTACATATCTGCATTCTCTCTCATGCAATGCTGCACCTATCCTAGGTCGCCATAGGCCCATAGAGCTGCTTAGACTGGGCTTGGGCCTCAATGTTCCGCCACCCGACCGACACCCTCCCAACAATCCAATCTTCAAAGTATAAATATATTTTAAGGATTAGGTGGCAAGCGGAAAATAAATAATGAATAAACAAAAAGGTGTGCCGACTTTTCCAGACTGATTGAACCTGTCCCCAAAGTATTCAATTATGATTCTTTTTTCAAGAAAATAAAAAATTCAATTCCTTTCGCTGTCTTCTCTTGTAAATTTATCTATCTATTTATTTAATTTATTAAATTCATATTATGCCAAGGCCAAAAAGTAATAATGCACCAAAAAAAAAAAAACAGAGAAAAAAACAAGCAAAAGTGTAGGGGATCCGGTCCATGTGGATAAGGCAGTTTATGGATAACCTGAATTCTGTGTCGTTTATTACAATTCAGATGTCGCACGAGGAAGTCAATCGCTCGATTCGCACCTTAAAAGGGCAAACCAGGCCCCCCCGCCACATGTCTGAAACCTAAGTCAATCCGACAACACATAATACCCATATAGTGATTTCATTTTTACACCGAATTGAAATTTGAAATTTAATGGGATTCTAACTAATTGCTGACTAACAGACGAAATTAGGCCAATTCACCGTAGCAATACGCTTACCCTTTGTATTCAAGTTCGAGTTTTCCTTTCTGTCAATTAGATTAACAAACCGGTCGGTCAAATTTATTCTATTATCTTTTTCTTTTGGGCAATTACTATTTTTATTAAATTACACAGATTATCATCCCCAAAGATTTTTATTACTTCAATTTATTAACTGAGTTTCCAAATGCTGGATATTCTTTTTTTGTTCTTTCTACAGACCATTTTTGAAATTCAAAATATGAGCTCCTGCAGCCTCTCTTGTCCACCGTACTGATTGTATGGTTGTAAATCCAAAGTAATCGCGAAGACGAGCGTCACAAGCCCCGGCGGTGACTCACAGTCATCCGAAGTCAAAACCAACCAATTCACGTAGGCACAATCTAAGCCGTTCATAAACTCCGATCTGGGACACGTGTCGCTTCACTATATTACCGTGACGAATCCAAATACCCAGCACCGAAATCACAGACCAGCTCTCCAACTCTTTGGGTTAGAGAGAGAAACAGAAGCACAAATGCCCTGATTCAACAACGTGTCTGTTATAGTTGTCTCTGTTCATATTCAGTTAGCCCTCTTTTCCCCTTCATCGATTTCAAAGACTTCAAATTTTGCAGAGAAAGTAAGCAACTTCTCTCTAGCTTAGTGCTTGTCGCATTTTATTTTTCCCTTTTTTTTCTTCTAATAAATATTGTATTATGTACTCTGCTTATTAAATTCAGGAGTTTTTTTTGTGGGGGGTTGAATTTGGTTGAATTTTGGTAGGTGAAAGTGAAATGGCAAGCTCAGTGGAGAAGGAGGGTGAGGAGGTTGTGTCCTTAGAACTACCAGCTCCTTCGGGTTGGGTTAAGAAGGTTTATTCTTTGCTTTCTCTCTCTCTCTCTCTCTCTGTTTTGCTTGGCCCTTTTAAGTTTTCCGAGCCATCAAATTTTCAATTCTTTGGTTGCTATATCACTTATATTCCTGTTTATTTGGGGAAATTTCATTTGAGTTTGTCGGGTTTTGTGATTTGGTGACTTTTGCTGGTAAAATTTGATGATGTGTTAATGGTTCTTATTTAGGGTTTGTGGCTGTTCCTCATTTTCTGTTGAATTTCAGTAATTATGCTTAAGCTTCTGAGGCTTTTGTATATAGTTTGTTAGGTTAAACTATGTCGGTTGGTCAGGTAAGGTTTTGGGGGGAAACGCTCTCATATTTTGAGCATTGTTGTACTTGTTTCATGGAACTCTGCTTGTAACTCATGTATGGTTTCTGCATTTTCATATATCTGTGGATTTGGGGTTTTTGTTTTTGTTTTTGTGAAGTGCAGTTTGGAATGTGGACTTTTGAATAAAAGTGGGGCAATTACAATCCCAGTGATTTCATTTGGGGATAATTCCCTTCCTCAATATATTGCTGATAATTTTTTTTTTAAAATTATTGTTCTTATTTATAATTCTTACTTTTAACTTTTAAGCATGTGATCTCTTTTATGGTATGGCTGGCAAGTGAACATGTTAGGCGAACATGACTGGGTCTATGGAAAGTGTAAATGACTCTTTACCTTGATTGACCTGCTTCCACTTAACAAGAATATCAAACGGATCAGTTTTATGTTGTTAGAACTGATTGAGCAATGGGAATATAGGTTGTGTGCAATTATGGATTGGTTTTATTCGGATATATTTGTTGGATTAGATTTCCAGCTTTCATATTTAAGTTTCCTCAGTTGCATTACTTAGAAACTTTAGTGAGCTACACCAATGAACTTTTAGGTCTCTGTGCTTGTTGATTTCATTAGGTGCATGAGCACTGTCCTTTATCTCATAAGTGCAGTTTCAGTATCTTCCAACCATGGTGCAATAATTTATATCTTATTTGATTTCCACGTACTTTTTTAAATTTAATTGAGTTTACTAATAGTTAAAGCGATTTTCAAATCTATACTCCTCTCGTTATGTTTTTTTTTCTTTTCCAGTTTTTGAAGTCAATATAACATGCTGAGGTTGGTCTTTGTAACATGCAGTTTCTGCCCAAGCAAAGTGGAACTCCTAAGAAAAATGAAATCGTATTTACAGCTCCAACGGGAGAGGAGATCACCAACAAAAGACAGTTGGAACAGTACCTGAAAGCACACCCCGGGGGTCCTGCAGTATCAGAATTTGATTGGAGCACTGGTGAGACACCAAGGAGATCAGCAAGGATTAGTGAGAAGGCAAAAGCAACTCCACCACCAGAAGGTGAGCCCCCAAAGAAGCGAAGCAGAAAATCAACTTCGGCGAAGAAGGATAGCAAAGAAAAGCAAGCTGGTCCTGAAGGAGCTGAGGAGACAAAAATTAGTGATGTGCAAGCTGCTGAAAAAGCTGGGATGGAAAAGGATGATGTGAAGGAAAACCAAGATGAGGAAAAAGCACCAGATGCAGATACCAAGACAGAAGTAGCTCAACTTGAAGAAACAAAAGTTGAACAAGAAGCTAACATACCTGGCGATGCTGAAGAGTGCAAGAAAACTAGCAAAGCTGGTCCAGAAGATTCAAAAGCATCCATTGATGGGAAGGAAGTTGAAGGTTCTGGTTTTGGAAAACAAACCGAAAAAGAAAATGCGGAAGGGGAAAAAGTAGAAGAGAAGGGTGAGCAACCACAGC